TTCCTTTGGGTTGCAACCAATTCGGGGTACGACCAGAGTCACGGAACGAATTAAGTTCGTAAACCGAGGTTCCACTGTATATCTCTTTTCCTTGGCCCATTTCAATTCAGAGACTCCATTCCCAAAAACCAATTTTCTAACAAGCAAAGCCAGAAAAACCACCATAATACCTCGAATATTCAGGCACAGAATTATCATAACTTAGATTCAAAAAGCTGTCTTACAGCCATATCAACAAAAGAACAGCAGCGCCTAGTGTTTACTCCAGCATGTTGGAGTGTTTACTAGTGTTTACTCCAGCATGTTGGAGTAAATCTGGGAGATCCAAATTCAAAGGCCCAGTCAACCATCCAGTTCACCTCTGGTCAGTATTTTAAAGCATGTTCTATCTCACAAGGATATTGAGGGGGCTATAAATGGATGGACACCATGTTTTCTGCTTTGAGATTGTTGCTTAATAGTCTTTAACTTCCACCTTTCCAAACAAGAACAACAGGGATCACTTACAGCTGCAGTTAGAGAAGAGTCGGTCAACGTGAGTCCCTCAAGGTCAGTCACAAGGCTAGTGGAGAGAACTGGGCTGGTGGTCACTGGCTGCAGAGGTGGAGGTGTGACTGTGGGTTGAAGAAGCAGAAAACCAAGGATCAATATACTTCTAGACTGATTCAAAGTTGAGGGGAAAAAGAAGGGGAATTGGACAGGACTTGAGGTCAAAAACAGCTTAGAACAAGATGCAAACTACATAGACTTCAGCACCATGGACAGATCATATGCTTTAGGGAGCAATGACTAAGTCATTTGTAAACCGCATGAGGACATTCGAGCATCTCCAAGACATAGTAGAATAGGTAGAGATCAGCAATGGATATGTCAGTGTTTCTCAACCTTGGCAACATTAAGATGTGTGGACTTCAGCTCCCATGGCTGGCTGGGGAATTCTGGGAGTTGAAGTCCACACATCTTAAAGTTGTCAAGGCTGAGAAACACTGGGATATGTTATAGGTCCCTAGGAAATTGTGGGCATACATACGGCTGTGTAATTAAATGCCTCTGCATCAAGAGTGGTTGATCCACTAAGCTTTGGAGCCCCCTGAGGAGGAAGTCCCCCATCATTCAAGGGAGCAAGACAAGTGGAGACAAGTGAAGAAACACAATTAGAAAGAAATAGATATGGAAGAGCAAAGAAACCAGCCTTATGGCTATTGGACATACAGTGAAATCCACAGATCTACCATGTGTCCAGACTAGGAAAAGCTGGATTAAAAAGTAATAAAAGGTACCCCAAGTGAATAATCCTGGTTTTTTCCTAGAGCTTGCTGGATTAACACCCTAATATAGGATATACATATAGAATGTACTGCATTGTGAATCAGCTCTTCTAGTTTTGTGTGGGTACAATGACTGGTAGCAATCGCACAAAGTTTAAAAAAGGGGGTTTTCTCAGATGATCCAGGAAATGATAGGGGTTAACTAGGGAGTTCCTACCATATCAAGGTGGTGCTCTGCACCTAAGCCATGGTATGTTAGATCTTGGAGTGCTAGCTATCTGCAACTGCAGCCACTGCAAGTTAAAAAATTTCTATATAAAATGTGAGGAGAAAGCATCATTAGCAACTTTGGAGTCCACCAGACATTTGCTTTGCCCACAACCCACTTCTTGTGGTAGCTCAGCCCCCTGCTGCCATTTAGAAGGAGCTGATGCCCGAGCACACAGTATAGCCACAGGGGCTGGATCAAACAGAATGCCATAGTCTCTGGAAGGGGAGAGAAAGACTGAGGAGGCAGCCCAAAAGGAGGACTGTGTGAGAGATGCTTACAGTCATCCAGATCAAGCAGAGAGATCTCCTTTGATCCTTTCTTAAGTGCTTTAGGAGCAGGCTTGCTGCTGGAAAGCTGAAAGAGAAAGGCCGAAACGAAAACAAAAATTAGGAAGCAGAAGCCAGAGATGGAACTACAGCTCAGACCAGTCCTGGTGGTGTTGGGAACTGTAGAGGTTCTCCAAGCCTAAACAAATAACTAAATTAGATTAGAGAAGTGCTCAGTCAGAAAGTTAAATGATATTGGTCTTGCATGAACCTGGAGCTCCCATTTTTCATCATGTCCACCCTTCGGGCCCCTTACCAGCTTCTTCTTCTTTGACTCCTCTGAATGAGATTCCTCCAGTTCGGATTCAGACTCAGATTCAGTTGAACTGCTTTCAGAGAGGCTGTCCTCTTCAGATGAGGAGCCCGAGTCTTCTTTTCCTCCCTGGGGTGATGTTTTTTTCTTGCTCCTTTCCTTTACTTCTTCTTCCTCTTCCTCCTCACTGGCACTTTCAGGAAAGAAATAGAGAATTGAAACTAAGGTCATCTCCTGTCATCCCTTACTTCTTTTGTTGGGATGGTGGACATCTTTCCCAAGTTGCATGCTGCCGTGTCACTAGCTCAGATCTCCAGCCTACAAGAAGGGGGTCAAAAAAGTTAAAATGGTGACCACAACCATGTGATTGAAGCCCCACCTCTTTTTTATGTGTATTGCCACACACATTAAAAAAAAAGGTAGGGCTTCAACTGCTTGGTGGCGGATGCCATCTTGATTTTGACCTCCTCCCTGTGGACACTCCTGTCTCCAGCAATTCACTTGCAAGCTGGCATATATTGTATTTTTTAAACTAAAAAAAAAATTTTTTTTTTTACAAAACTCAGCACTGCACATCTATAGATACTATCTACTGTATTGGGAAAATACCAGATGGAAAGTGGATGAGGGAAACATGACCTGGAAGACACCATATCTAGCTGATTGTGAAGTTCCACGCAACTGGGAAGGCCAAGAAAACACAGATTCCAGCAAGGTATTTTTAATCTTGTTTGGGGCAAATACAAAATCATAGGAAATTGTAGGAGTTTCCTAGCCTTAGTTATGGTGAGTTCATTAGGGCAGAGTTTCTTTAATATTGGGAAATGCCTTCTTCCCTGGTTTCTCCCCACCTGGGCTGAGTTGCCTTTTATGAGATAAAATTACCTGGATCTCTTGAATGTTTATGTTGGGATTTCCCCTTCCTTTCCCAGCTTCCCCACAGTTGGCACCCTAAAAAGGAACATTCCGGGCTGCCATTTTCTGTGAGTGGTCTTGCACTAATGCAATCCACCTGCATTTTCTGCCTTGGTGGCTCAGCCCAGCTGTCAGAGGTGACTCCCCAAATGATCCCTGTTTGTGTGCAGCCAATGCCAGTCTCAGTTGGCCATTCTACCTGCCAGCGGTCTCCAGCAGACCTTTCCTAGGAGCTTCCTTCTTCTTCTTCTTCTTCTCCTCCTCTTCCTCCTCCTCCTGCTCTTCCGACTGGTCTTCACTCTCTTCCTCCTCCTCTTCTTCGCTGCCAGAACCAGATCCACTCTCACTTCCACTTTCAGATCCACTCATGGTCTCAGGCTCTGATAGCAAAAAGGAGAGGTAAGGAGTTTATAATTGTCAGCCCTACAAGGTAGACGAGACTTAAGAAACCAATGCCCTATAGGTCAGGACTACTTTTACTGTAACAGCTATAGGAACAGAATCTTGCAAGTCTGAATGTGCTTCCCTCTCCCTCCCTTTCTCTTCATGTAAACTAGGAAGGGTCTTCTCTCTTCTTTTCTTGGTTACTTTCTTGGCCTGGGTTCAATCCCCTCTTATCTGACTGTTGCCTTGGTAGTGGCTCTTCCTCCTGTCCTTCAAGGCCATTTCCGATGCCCTCTACATTAATACACCCTCCCATCCATTACATTGTGCAGGTGCCTACCTCCGATCATTATCCTTTATTTTTATTGTTTATGTAACTGTCCTTCCCATCAAAGAGCAACATTCAAAAGGCAGCTTACAAATAAAAATACTTAGACACAAAGCAACAACTAATAAGATGATTAATGCAAATTGAAAGAAGAGTCCAAAGTGGAGGCGGGGGGAATCAAAAACAGCCTGATGCAAATTCAAACTTCGATTCTAAACTCCAGCTCAAAGCTAACCTACACAGAAACGATGCCAGGCTGGCCTCTTTGGGGATGGTGTTGCCAGTGCCTGCAACTGCATTTCTAGACTTTCCACATTCTTACAAACACTGAAGTTCCCAGCAGTGTCCACAAGGTGTGCAATGCACAAACGCAGAAAATAATGGTGGAGTTTTGATCATACCATCTTGACTTTTCTGACTATATCTCGAAGACACCTCTGCTCCTAAGACTACTATAAAGCCTTCAATGACATTTTTTACTTGGGTTCACCAACTGTGCCAAGCCATAATGTGGCTTGTTTCGTTTTGTTTGTCATCTTGGGTGAACCCAGCCACTGAAGCTTGCAAATCATGGTTTACAGCTGAGTGCAATGTGTGGATCTAGCCATGATGGTTTATTCTCCAAATGATGGCTTGGATGATGTGTGAACCACCAACCATAGAAACCAGGGTCTATGAAAAAGCAGGGTCAGAAGCCTGCACTGTCTTAAGGAACAGCAGTCTCTGGTGTCCCTAATACAGTGCCCTGTGTTAAATAAGTAACCTCCCAGATGCCGTATCAGAATGTTTGCTCACTGACCCAAACGGTTCCTGCTCTGACTGGTGGCAGCTTTGCAAATATCTCAGTCACTTCCCAATTCCTTGAAGAAGAGATTCTGGGAACGGACCTTGGAACTCTTGTATACAAAGCCCATGGTTTTCTGTACCCCATTCAAGACCACCTCCACCACTCCATTCTCACCGCTGTCAGCAGATTCAGTTGCCCCGGATTCTCCCTCTGAATCAGAATAGAATGGTTTCTCCACCTTCTCCTTCCTCTTTTCACGGCTGGTGCACTTGGTCCATTCTGGGACCTGGATGGAACAATGATGTAGGAAGCATGTACCTCATTGCAAAGATGGAACTGAGCACATCAAAAGCCTACTATGCCCAGGAGCAAAGAAAACAGATTTGAAGAGCTCAGCTCCACACAATGGATTTCCTGCACAGAAGTTACCTTGGTGCAAGTGACCAAAATGAGTCAGTGTGCAGGTTAATAGCATAGTATTTACTATTTATTTAGGACTAATTGTTACATTGTATTTTTAATTAATATTTATCTTTCCTGTAAACCACCCAGAGTGGTTTTCTAATGAGATGGGCAGTGACACATTTGATAGACAGACAGACAGACAGGCAGATGGATAGATTGATTCAGTGGCATCTATTTTGTTGCAGCTGGCAGTGCATGCCTGTACGCCACATGCACACGAGAGGAAGCATGCACGCATCCTTATAACAGGTGTCTAGAGGAAGTTCATGGTTCTACAGGATGCAGCCCTCAAGAGTGAACTAAGGTGAATCCAAGAGGTGAGGCAGAGAACACCGCATATTTCTGCATATTGGTACAGCAGCCGTGCACTAATAGCTCATGACAGGATCTCTGAACAGCAATAATACAGTGAAATTTCAATTTAGTGGCCTGCAATACAATAGACATTGCATGCAACAGACCAAATTTCCTCAACAAAATCTGCACTGAGTAATGGTCATTATGCAAACCCTCTTGCATTTAATGGACATTTGTGAATAACTGGTAGCTCCTCCCTCCAACTAGTCCATTAAAATGAGATTTCCTTGTACCTGAAAAGAAGGCGTGTTCAAAGTCCAGTTCAAATTATGTATCAAGGAAGAGAAGCCTGGGATTCTCCTGATGCTGCTGAACAGCAATTCCCAGGATCGTTTTCCAATGGCCATGTTGGCAGGGCTGTTGGGTGCTGGGGTTCAGGACCATCTGGAGGGTTACAGATTCCTCATCCTTGCTACATTTGGACTCCATCTAACATCCCTCCAAGGAATTCAACCCAGATCTCTTCCCATCACCTCCTAGCCTGGTCCTTTTCACTGTCAAGGGTGTGTTTTGAGCTGTGGCCACTGTTGAAAGACTCTCCTTGGGTGAATATATCTTGTGCGTTTTCTTCTCTCCCACTTGCATAGTATTAGATCATTCAAAGCATCCCATCCTATCCTCATTAGAACCCAGGGAGGTAGGCCAAGCCTACCACTACAGATTTTCCAAATCCACCATAGTTTGATGGTTGAGTCAGGAGTTTCTCCTGATCCAAACCCCAAAATACTGTATAGCCATAGTGTTTGACCACCTGAGGTCTCATTTCTGAAAACTGCACAGGGTTTGAAATCCTTACAGGGAGTAAAAAAATGGCAGAAAGACAAAGTTAAGGCTTTTGCCATGTTAAAGAGACTCTCATAGATTAATATGGATTCCTTTAATATAGTAGATTTTCATTCACAATACAGAAAAGTCCTCTTTTTGATACTAAATGCACATTTTAATGTGCTATAGCAGATACCACTGTCTTAAAAAATATGCCCTCTGCTCTGTTGTGAAAACAGAAGATTCAATGCCTCTGCCAAGAGAGGTCCTATAGCTTTTATAATAACATTTTTGAAATAAATCAGCAACCTGACTAAATCAGGGCACTTTTTTAGTCCATCAACAGTATTCTCAATCTGTCAACGGATCACCCAGGGATGGAAGTCCTAACTAGCACACACAGAGATGCACAGCATGGGGAGAGAAGCTGGAAGAGGAGAAGGAAAACAGGAAAGAGGAAAACTATCACTGCACACACAAGCACCACCTCTTTGGGACCACCCAGTAGCCCAATGTGGGTTCCTCTAGGATCAATGGAGTCTTCCTAGAAAAATAAGCATGGGGTATAGACACCAACCTTTCATCAAAACAGAACAATACACCCCACTAGATATTGCAAGCACAGTATTCTGCAGAAGACATGGTGGCCTGGACTTGTGCCTCACCTGCCATAATAGCTGAGGAGATATGACTCTTGTACAGGTCGAGCATTGGACCACTGACACTCAATATTTTCATAATGTATCTGAGCAAAACTAGCTTCAAGGATTCCCATATCCCATCATCAATAAAGAGAGGGTTAGTCCTACCTCCACGTTGCGCACAGATGGATCTGGAGCTTCACTGGGCCAATCAGGAAGTTCCTGGTAGCCCACTGCTTTCGCATTAAGGAGGTGTGAAAGGGAGCCCAGCTGGAAGTGGTCACGATCTGGAAGGAAGAAGAGATCAGGAAAATCCACCCAGGTTTGAAGGCCACACCATCTTGGTCCTTCAACTGTTCCCGCAGGTCCGGTTAGTTGCCATACCTTACCTTTGAAAGAGGACTCCAAAATGGGAGCAGGCTTCTGTGCCAGAAAGAGCTTCTTGGCATACTTGCTGAGGGCACCACTCTTCTCAGTGGGTACAATGAGCTGGCGGATGAAACGGGCACGATCCCGAATGTCATAGTTCTGGTCATACTTGGCCAGATTCAGCACATACTGGGTTAACAGCTTACTCTGTGGATGCAATAACAACATGGCAAAGAACAAAAAAGAGAAAATGATGGGTCAACCACAGGTTACGAGCTGGGCATGTTGAGGGTAATTCCTGGCAACATCTTACACCAAAGGCCAGAGGTATGGAGATTTCAGTTACATCCATAAATCTAATAAATAAAATTAAACAATACTACAAGGGCAAGCTAGAGCTCTTCCAGCTGTACAACTTATTTTTGTCTCTTCCATGAATATACACATCACTTTGCATATTGGAAGAAAATTATTTTATATCACTGGAACCTGGACTTTATTCTTCTCTTCCAGCTATTAATAGCTGAACTATTATTAGGAACTATTATTATCTCCATCTGAAATTCTTTTGACTTTACTTTTAAAAATGTATGCCCCCACCAGCAATGACCTCTAGCTTTGTTAAGATAAAACTGTTTTTCTTCTTTCCACCTGCTAAAACATGTAGGTGTTCACCCTTAAAGTTGGAGATGGATTTAAGTAATAGCTGGACTTTTAAATTGAGTGAATCAATTATTTTATTTCTTTCTTTATTAGATTTAATATAGCTGGCCACTCCAATGGTTTCTGGACTTTGGTTCCTTCAAAACTTCCTGGACCAGAGGTACCATCTGAAATTTGAACCTTGAGTGGAAAAGTTATGTATTAAGAGGTCCCTTTTTGAAATATTTTACTATCATCCCAAGAAGTATGATAGTTCCAATACAAAACATGTATACCTAAATTTTCTTTTATTTTGGAAGTTAAGAGGCATTTCTGGTGTGCATGCTTGTGATACGTGTCTCCTTGACATGTCTATGACAGAACCAGACAGATACACAGCCTAGAAACTTACACTCCCTGTTATTCTTAGAAAGGACATTACCTGCTTAGAGTTGGTCAGATAAAGTTTGGCTGCCAAATTGATGACCTGCAGTTTCACAATATCCTCCTCACTGGTGAAGGACTTGGCCATCTTGCGCAAAACATCTGGGGCAATCTTGGGCACATGTTCACAGTATTCACCAATCAGCCATAGGATGCTGGCCCGGGCCATGGGTACCTGCAGACAAGGGGAAGTGACATCTCTGTGTCTCTCAGCCCTGCCTTCCTCATCCTCTCCTCTCCATCACATTCCAACCAAGTAGAGGTTGGAGAGTCTCCTCCTCCTCAGCTCTTGTTCAAACCTGTATGTTATCCGTCAGCTTAGCCATATGTTTGATGATCTCACTGTGCTGAGACGGCTGCATCTGCAGAAGTTTCTTAATGACAACCACTGACTCGGCCACAACCAGCTCTAAGTAGGATGACAGAGAAAGCAGAAAGGTAGACATAAACCAGGCCAGCTCTACCGTTAGAGAGAATGAGACAAAGGCCTCATGGAGGCCTGAGGAAGACACTAAAGGCAGCTTCACAAGGGTTCCCCTCAAGAGCCATGGCAATGGGTCTCATACCTGGACACCTTAACCCACTATGCCAGAAACAGTACAGGATTCTAGTTTCTGGTTTAAATGGGAGTCATCTGCAAGGACAATCAGTTGCCCTCAGGGTACAGCTTGAGATCCCAGGGCTAGACCTCACAACCTCCAAAGCCCCTCTGAAAGTGGCCATTAATTTTCCATTTTTAATGCGCTAGTGAGGGAAAAGAGGCTATTTTTAATGGAATTGGGGCCAGGGTGATAGGAGAGGATGATGTCTTATAAGGTATAGTGCATACCAAAGGTGTCTGGTAGTCTATTAATTGTTGTCATAGTTTAATTGCACTTCAATGTTTTTGCTTTATATTGATATATGCCACCCAGAGTTGCATTTGTGTGAGTTGGGTGGCGATTTCAATGTAATCAATCAATGGAATATTGCTTGCAACACAGTTCTATCCACTTTTTGACCTGGCTCCCTTGTCTTTGGAGCATAACCCCCGCCCCACAAACACACACACAACCCTTAGTGTGTTCCATGATCTGTCCACATTGCTGAAACACATTAGGTTGCTTCTAAGAGCAAGATCTCACCATCTCGGTTGGACAGCAGCTGAACCAGTCCATTGAGACACGTGTCCCGCACTCGGCCGATGTTAGTGGCACAGCGGCCAATGGCCTGGATTGTGGCTGCCACAAAGTCTTTATCCATGCTCCGGATGTAAGTCTGCAGGAAAGGAAGGAACAAAAGTCTTGTCCAATGTATCTATCTACCGTATAGACTGGATCTAGCTGAATATTCTCCTTGGAGATGAAACAAGCTTTCCTCCATAGAAAGAAGAAATCCTAACAGCTGGGACTTCGCTTTGATGTTTAGGCTAACTTCATGTCTCAAAAGTAAACCTAACAGAATTTAATCCAACCTGGAAATCCTTCCTAGACCACAATTCAAGAGATGGATTTGTACCAACACCAACATTTGGGTTTCTTTCTGCATGTATTTTAATTTTATAGGACTTCTAAATTAGAATAGATTTTTAATAGTATGGACAGAATTTACTGCAACTCACAATTTCGTTCTATGCTTTATACTGTGCTAGCCATGGTTCCTGAGATTTAGGCTTGCTTAGAGCTTAATAGGGATTTTCAAGCTTTAAAATAATATATTTAGTTAGTCACACTCAATTAATGATATACTGAAGCATTATAATCTCTATGTAAATAACTTATTTACTCATCTGCATCCTACTCTTTTACCCCTTTCCTTTGTTCTTTTTCCTTCCCTGTTCTTTTATTTTCTTTAAAAAAAAAATACTGTTTCGCATGCAAGTTTCCAACCCAAGATGGTCAGCAATCATGGAAGGAATGACAAAGGTTAGCAAAATATCATTGTTTTAAAATTAAAAGTAAGAGGAGGGCTTGTTGGCTTCAGTAGCACTCCAATCAGTTTAAATCCAGGAAGCCCAGCTTCACTGGGCAGCCACACACATTTTAAAAATGCTTGGTTGTTGACCACCCTATTTGTGGGACAAAGCACTTAATTAATCAGGGGATACAATATAGGTTTCGACACTGAAAATGTCCTGGCTATCCAATTAACAAAGGAAAAAGTTCTGGCATTGTGCCCGGAGGTGGAAGAGGCCTCAGAGATTTTCCATATATTACCTGAAACTCCCGCAAGATGGTAGAAATGTTGGTTTCATTAGCCAGGTTGGTCAGAACTTCCAGCTATCAGGATAGGAAAAAAAGCAGAATGAATGAGCTTTGAACATCTTTCAGTATCACTGCTTCCTTGAGCATGCAGAGATGCAAGAAATAATGAGAGCTAAGCCAGGCTTTGCATCCTGCTGCGTGTGGCAAAATTCAGAGGAATGGGAGAAGCGGAAAGGAATTTGCTAGCTGTCCTCTAAGAAAAGAACAAAATGGCCATCTATGTCTGGGGGACCCTGGAAAGTTTCCCTGTTTTAAAAATAAATTTAAAGTAAAAATAAATGTAAGTAAAAGTGAGTTCCCTTTTTAAAAAAATTACTTTTACAATAAGTAAAAACAAATTACTTAGTTTGTTTTTGCCCTAAGTAATAAACCTGGGAGTAAATCTCAATTAGGTTTGCAGCTGGTCTATGATTAGTGAATCTCTTACTTAGATATAGCCTTACTTCTGAGAAGACACAGAAAGAGATTGTATTAAGCTATGGTTCAGTAAGCCATGTGGCCTGCTTCAGACATCACATTCAGCAAACCATGGTTTACAAACCAACATGGCTGGGTCCATCCATCGGTTTAGGATTAGCACAAACAAGTAACATTAGGGCTTAGTACCCTGTATAATTCTCACCACAGATTTACACCATTAACATACAATAATGTCAATGTTTCACTTTTATTTTTTTTTCATCTCTGCTTTGGTTGGTGGTTTTTAATGTTAAAAACAAAAGATGCGTTATTTGGAATTGGATTGTATTTGGGAGTATGGCAACCCAGTGTACAGAAGTGGATTAACAACCATGAGCTAAGCTATCTGAGCATTGAACACACCTTTAGGATCTTGATCTGGGTGGGATCAGTTGATCGGATGTAGAAGCTTTTCAGGTAGGGCTCAAACATTCCCTGGAGAGAGGAGGAGAGAAAGAGAAACAGGTTCAGCTAAAAAAAAAAAAATCCATGGAGACTTCTCTGGGTTTCTAGAGATCAAAAAAGATTCTCTTCAAGATATATATACTGCTCCCTCGCTGACAAATGGGAAGAAACTCTGGCTGATATTAAGTAAGTGCAATGTGACAGACCTCCATAAAACCTGCACCCACGTTTTGCAGTGGGACATGTGAATAATTCCCACCTGAAAAAGGAAAGTGACACTCACCCTACGCTTGATGGACATGGTGGCCACATTCTGAAGCACCACATATTGTACCTCACTGCCATGAGAAAGAAAGAAAGAAAGAAAGAAAGAAAGAAAGAAAGAAAGAAAGAAAGAAAGACAGAAAGAAAGAAAGAAAGAAAGACAGAAAGAAAGAAAGAAAGAAAGACAGAAAGAAAGAAAGAAAGAAAGACAGAAAGAAAGAAAGAAAGAAAGACAGAAAGAAAGAAAGAAAGAAAGACAGAAAGAAAGAAAGAAAGAAAGACAGAAAGAAAGAAAGAAAGAAAGACAGAAAGAAAGAAAGAAAGAAAGACAGAAAGAAAGAAAGAAAGAAAGACAGAAAGAAAGAAAGAAAGAAAGAAAGAAAGAAAGAAAGAAAGAAAGAAAGAAAGAAAATCATTAATGAGGCTAGGCCTTCTTGAGATCCACCATCATCAGATAGGGTTAGCCTTAGTTTTTACAAGAATTCTGGTGAATATTACTTTTCCTCCAGCAAGAGTTCTCCAGAAGTGATGGGATTACAACTCCCATTTCTGCCCAGCTATGCCCATGGACGGTTTGAGAGAAAACTTATTAAACTGAGGGCTATAACTGATAAAAACTGAATGTTTAACAATTTGCCTAACAGTCTGGGGAGGTGGCAATGGAAAAAGGAAAAGAGTGAATGGAGCGGAACCTCCTGAAAAAAGGCCATGACTACTTGGGACATTGAAAAGAAGCATCTGACACTGCAACGTTTTGTCCCTTTCTAAAGGCCACATCCAGGTTCCAAAACATCTAGACAAACCAAGATGTAATCAAGAGTTGTTGGAAACTGGCAGAAATGCCCTGATTCAGTCACTTTGCTGGAAGAAGAAAAGGAAAATTCAGCCCTGGGATTACAGAGAATGGGAAGGAAGCATCTGGATACCTGTGGCTCCTCAGGAGACGCACCAGGGCCTTAGCAATGACGCCAACTTCAGCCTTAGGAGCGAGGTGGAAGTAGAGCTGAGCAACTGACATCACCACCTGAAAAACAGAGGAGGTGACTTGGATCACAAGCTGGTGGAACAACCAAGAGATGTTTATCTGCTTGCTGTATTTGCCAACATGAGATGGCATAAGGCCATAAAGAAGAATGAGCCGGATGAAGAGTGCCCCAAATCCCAAAATACAAGGAATCTGCTGTGGAGAGCAGACTAGCAAGAAAAAAAAAATATCACGCGGAGGAGTGGAAAACCCATAAATCATCTGCCCTTCGTGCCCAATAATCTTATGTAATGCCTGAAACTTGTGCCACAGTTATCAACACTCAACATGAGGGTTGCCACCAGATAACTGTCTGTCTGCACAGATGAAAGTCAAGTTTCGCTTTAAGACTGTGAGAAAAATATTTTCACTTGGGTCCACCTAGCTCCACCCCTCTCCTACCGGCCCTGCCCATTTTTATGAGTACAGCCTCTGTTACACCACAAAGACGGCAGGAGCTTCAAGTTATTGCCCACCTCACTTGGGCATGAACACAGAGGATGCCCTTTGCCAAGGGTAGGTCTTTCTCCCCTTCTTCTTTTCTGCACCCATTCTGGTGACCACAAGACAAGGGAGGGGCTTCTTTATTTTCAGGGCAAGCTTCTCCCCCCCCCCAAACCCAGGAGAAGGGCTCACTGCAGCATTGCGGCTTTGCAGCAGGGGCTTGGTGTTGCGCAGGAGTAAGCGGTGGTCAGGATCCATCACGTAAGGCTTGCGCTTTGCCACGGGTGCTGACTTGGCCTTGTCATCTCTGGCATCTTCTTCTTCGGATCCATAGAATGTTTTCTCAGCACTCTCTTCCAGAAGGGATTCCTGTCCATCGGAAAACAACGAAAAGCATTTGAGGTGGAGTAAGTGGTCCTCTCCCTTTTCCCAACCTGCAGGCAGCATGAACTTCTAAACTATTCTACATCACTCCTTACATTCACGTAGCACACGAAGCCATAAACGTGATGGTCAAATAAAATGGCTTGTTTCACGTAATACGCTACACCCAAGAACAAATAAATGATATTTTGGTTCAGTATGATGGCCTGACTCACACAGTATACAAAGACAATTATGTTTCTTGCAACTCAGCTCTGTTCTAGCCTAGTGTAACATGTAGTATGAACTGCGACATCCTGTTCTAAGAATATGCCAAGGAGCTCTGTTGGGCCAGGTTCTACCGAAGGAGGTGGCATGCCCCTGAAATGTGGATGCTCCAAGTCCCACAGCTAATATCTCTGGCTCTGGTCACACTGACATTTGGTTGTTTCACTGATAAAGATTCAAACAATAATATGTAAATAATTGATTGCAGATTTTCCATAACCTCCTCTCCAACACATAAGTCTCTGAAAAAGAGACTCAGAACACTTCTGCTCTAATGTCCTCCAAGATATATTGGTTCTAAACTGAAAATAGGTCCCCTTGCTGGGATTCTCGTACCCTACCCCTTCCATCTCAATAAGTCTTGATAAAGAGAAATCTGTGAGGATCATGCTTGGATAAAGAACCGCATCCCATTCAGGGCACTGCCAAAGGATCTGATAGATGGGCTCCTCTCTCATCTGCTCCTTGACTCACATTCAGGTTAGGGCTGAGGAACTGGGTGCGGGCGTAGCGGGTCAGCATGTTAATGATCACCACCTGGCCCCATTCCTCCACATCAATCAGCAGGTTGCACAACTTGCGGTAATTCTTGTGAATAAGGTCGATGCGCTCTGGGCAGACCTCCTCGAAGGCCATCACCACACTGCCAGCCACCAACTGGGCAAGAAGACAAGAAGACAGAAAACACAGTTCACAAATTAAGAGACTGTCCAGATTCACAGAGCCAAGAAGCGACTGTTTTTCACAGAATTCTTCAACAACTGTGAGAAGGCTCTTTCTTAGTCCTATTACAGAACACAAACTGACAGTAAGTCCCTTTTTAAAAAAGGTTTTAGTCCTGCACATTTGTCCACCCTTCTTCAAACTCTTGTAGCACCCTGAAAGCCAAAAATGAAGCATGAGATTTTATGGATTATCATCAGGCACCTGATAATCCACACAGTATCACTTGTGCCATCTGTTAATCTACAGCAGTCATACCCAACCTCAGCAACGTTAAGGTGTGTAGACTTCAGCTCCCAGAATTCCCTAGCCAGCACGCTGGGGAATCCTGGAAATTGAAGTCCACACATTTTAAAGTCACCAAGGTTGAGAAACACTGCACTCCTGAGGTGTTTTGAAGCTCACTTTTTCTTTCTCAGTTTTCTTCCCTTATCTCCAAACCCTCCAGAGACAATCTTACTCACCGTAGTCTTATCGGCCAGCAGCTTCTCGATGACTTCAATTAACTGGTCTTTCTGGTCTGAATCAAGGCTGTAAGGAACAAGGCCACTTGGCGGTTAAACCCTTTCTAGAGGCTGAGTCAACACCCTGTGCTCTATCATAATGTGATTTACTTCATTTTGGGCTTAGCTTGATCCTTGAGATAAAGACAGAGAGATACACTTACAAATGATTCACTGCTTGAAATTCAAATGCCAGCTTCATCCCTTCATTCACCCACAAACACATCTGTCTGTCTGTGTGATGTGTGCATGCGTGTGTACTTAAGGCACAAAAGCCCACTCTAATTTCTAGGACCACAGGACACCCTCAAAAAGTTTGACGGGTTTCCTCAAGTTTCTCGCAACAAAAGGAGAACATCATGAAATGCATTAGAGAAATCATATTAACTGTATTTAACGGAAATGAATTGATTTAATCTACCCATATTTATTTAGCTTTTACCCTGCCTGCTCATGTTATTTGTCCTCGTTCTGTTGTGCTGTGGGAAGGCAGCTCCTGGAATACTATTCAAAGAGCAAACATGGCCCTGAGCCAAAAATGTTGCACACCCCTGTGCAAACAGGAGGGCAAAAAGCTGTGAGCAAAGCACACTGTAATATAGTATTTAACATCTGTAAGGCAACCTCTTGGTAGATTGCTTTAGCACTTATATCTAACCAATTAGATCTCAAGGACACTCAAAACACATTGGTTTTTGCACCACTGCAGTGCAAATCTCTCAACAGGAACCAGTTTGAATTGGCACAACCAAGCCACAGTTCTGCACTGATCGCCCATACCTGTACAGCTTCGGAATGGCGTGAGCTGCAGTTTTGCGCACATACGGAGACATGTCTGAGGCTGCCTCCTTGATGGCCAGCATCATGATGGGGACAATGATGGGGACGCGGATGCTGGAGAGGACCCGGAGGGCGCTGGCTCGAATCAGCTGATTGGGATCCTGGGGCCAAGAAGAAATTGGGAAGATAAACACTCTTTAAACACTCTTCCCAGCTGGGAAGATTTCAAGCCCCCACCCTTTCACCAGGGCACAGGTAAAACTCAGGTTCGTTGAAGACAGAGGTAATCATCTCTAGGGTCAATGCATTGGGACATCCCATTCAATTCCTGTCCCCTAGTGATTGCCCTCTGAGTATTGTGATGGCCAACCTTGAGTCCTCGCTGGAAGGTAGAGATTGACAGTAAGGCCAAATCTTGCTGTTCTTCTGCATACCGGACGAGGTAGACGTAGACCAGCTTCTTCACCTGGCAGAGAAATGGCTTAATGATCAGGCACTGAACTGAGAATTTGGCCTATGTTTTGCTTCCCCAAGTATCAACCCTTCCCCTTGGCTTTCTCCTTGAAGGGAGAGTTGAAGCCATCATCCCCATTTTGTCTCCCCAAATTATTTCCATTGTTACATCCAGGGCTGGCTCAAATAATTTTGCTGCCCAACCGCAATCACATCCTTTCCCCATAATTCATGTTGCAGAAGGTTAGGGTTGTTATTATTATAGCACTGAGCAATAAATATACTAATAGCAAGTTCTGTACTTATCAACTTGCAGCCTTTCCATAACCTCTCAAATCTCATTACAAAATGACAGGGCCGGCTCCAAAGTCATACACAGTGCACACATTTTCTTAGCTTCCTTTTCCTGTTCTTTTCTCTTTCAAGTTATATCCGTTAGATGGTTTTCAACCATAAACCATTTTGAATGCGCTGGTTAAAAACCAGCAAGTAAGCAACTAGTCAAAAGACCTGGGAAAGCAGATGGCAATCATGTATTGATTGGTTTAATTACATAAGGCAGCCAATGTTTTTACAGATTGGGTGAATCAAGGGTTTCAAGTTGTGCATAGCTAAGGCCATCCACAGGACTAAGCAGAGATTTGGACCAAGGCCATTGCTTCCTGGTTTGAACTTGGTCTATAGCAGCATATATGTTACATCAACCTTTATTCCAAAAACCATGTGAGTTTTCCAAAAGTCCCTTTATTACTTATTAAGGCCAGGGAGAGGCAACCTGGTGACCTCCAGGTATTTCAGATGACAGCTCTTCCAGTATGTTGCCATGGGCTTGGATGGACAGGAGTTACAATCTGAAAATCTAAAAGGCTCTTGGTTATCCATACCCGCTGCAGTCGATCAAAAAATTCCAAGCATCTTCAGCAGATCTTGACTGGCTTCCCTTGGCTGAGTTTGCATGTTGCATTAGGTCATAAGTCACAGTTTGCTAACCACATGACTGGAATCTTAGAATATCAGCAGTTCCAAACAAATCATCTGCTTTTTAGTTCAGTGCAATGGGTGGACGCAGCTAATGCATGCGCAAGATTGCTTACCTCTATATTCTTGCAAGCCACGTTTTTGACCACGGCTGGAAAGAGATCTGATGCGTTCTTGCCTCGAGCAATCATCTGGGGGCAGGAAAGGCAGCCATGGGGTAGTTAGCAGAGAATGGTTGTCCTGTAGGGACCTCCCTTCATCAAATGTCTTGGTCCCTTTGGACCCTCCATGGAATGGTATTTTTTAATTAATTAGTTAATTAATTAATTAATTAATTAATTAATTACATTTCTCACCCGCCCATCTCCCCCCGATGGGGGAACTCTGGGCGACTCACAAC